CTGTGTGGGGGAGATGCTGTGGAGTTCACAGAGGTCCTTCATAAACAGGTGAATGAGAATGGTCATCCCCACCGTGAAGGCCCTGGTATATACAGATAAGTACCCCGGGGGCAGGAGGCTCACCTAGAAATTGGGGTATGGGAGGAGGTACTCGAACCATCATCCGTCCACGTGTACCTCCTTGTACGCGCGGACGATGTCTCTATCCCGTGTCTTTGGCGCTGTAAAATCTGCTGTGAAGGTCGGCCGCCCTTCACCTGCCTCCATGGATGCAACGGGAACACCGAAGTAACGCTTGCTATAGCCGGAGACTCCTCCTCCAACCAAAGAATCAGAGGGGGCACTTGGCGTAGAGGATTCTACCTCTTTCGTCTCGCCTTCAACCATATGGTCGACGCTATCTTCATCATCCCATTGATTTCGGATGTACTCCTCAACCGCCCTCAGCACAGGGTCACTATTGGTGGAAAATGAAGAAGACGCGGCAGCAAGAGAGGGATCCGGCCTCACAAGAGGCCCAGACGATAACCCCTATCGACAGCTAATTCTTTTGGGTGCCATACCCATAACTGTAATGACAAGTCTACAATTTGCATCCTACAAAGGTTCGACGCCTACCAGGCCTTACGCTCATATTTAGAATCAAGTCGATTAATAGCGGCGATCATTCAAACAAGATTCAAGTTAATTTAAGAACAAGACGGTGATTGTTCATGTAAAGCATCGACAATTCAAATAAGCCTAAAAAACCAAACAGAAACCCAGACACTCAAACTCGGTGGACTCACTCAAAACTCTTGTAACCAGTCCAGGCCAGTGCGAAAAATGCCAAAACAAGGCCCTAACACTCCTATTTCACTATTTCTAACATTTTCTTTTATAAAAAATTGCCGGAGGCAAGAGCGAAAGCATAGCAAAATTCAAAAAAAAAAAAAAGAAACAAATATCCACTACACCACATCGACAAAACAAGGAAAGGAAATAGAGGAGGGATGCTTACTAGAAGTTCAGAAATGGAGGAAAAGTATAAACTTGAAATGAACTTCACCAGAGAAGCACGAGTTTGCAGGTGGAGAATGTGGAGAAGGGTTTGGAGGATTTTTGGCAGAGTGTCGGCTTATTTCCAAGGCGCTTCGAGTGATCAATGGCAACCCATGAGATTATTTATAGAAGCGAAAAACCCCCGACTCTTAACCGTCGGATGGAATAACCGTGCATCCGACGGTGAAGACGAAAGGACGCGATCCAACGGTGATTAAAAGAGCGGGAAGCTGAAAGGGCACGATCCAACGGCCCAGATTTGTCCATTTAAATGAAAGCCCAAGTCAACATGGCGACCGAATCGACGTGACGTTTACTCTGGCCGAAGAACCCCTTGAGCATCTGAACCATCATTGCAATGGAGGTTCAGAGCTAGGTTCCTACACCCGAAGCAAGCGAAGAGGCTAGAGAGAGTCCCATCGTAATTAAAGCTCGAGACAATCTAAGGGAAAGCCTTGACCTGGGGGTAGCTATTGTGACCAATATAAATCACGGAAGATCCCTATAGTCGCAATAGTGGACAAAGTAGGTAGATGAACAGTCTAAAAGGTACTGAAAAGCTACAGTCTAGGCGAGTAGGATAATAGGCCACTCGAGAGAAACCATCAGATGACCATTTGTCTCAGTTTTCTCCAATGTGTAATCTGTGAGATATAAAAAGGGCAAAGCCTTAGAGAGAAAAGGATGATGAAAAACTGGGAGAACAAAACCTCTGTAATCGAAGAAGAAAGAAAACAGTGAAATTTTCCTCAAAGTGGACGTAGCTCTTTCATTGAGAGTGAATTACTATAACTTTCGGTGTTCTTCTCATTTATCTGCACTTTCATCTAGATTAAAAACACTTTAGAGACCCAAACACGATCAACCGCACTTTTCTCGATATTACAACGTGTTTGAGCCGGTAACCCGACTTATTACTGAGTGGTAATCCAGTGTATTCTTGTTGACAAAATTCCACCGTCAACATTATATCAAAAGTAAGATTTTTTTTTTTTCTAATTCTCCAATCAAAAATTTCTTTCCTCAAACATATCTTCTGTAAAAAAACCATTTTTTTTATGCCATCCTTTCAGCTTCACTAATTTGTTCATGTCTAGGTAATTTTGAAATAATTTTTTGTTCGGCTTTTGCTCTTATTAAAGTAATTTATTTCATATGTGTTTTTCCTTGTTTGTTTCTTTTTTCTTTTTATTAAAATCTCTTTTATAGTTTAATTTTTTTCAATATATTTTTTTAAAACACTTTTCCTCGATTGTTTCTATTAGAATATATTATTTTTCAAGTATATCCCTACTTACTTTTTAACCTATGTAATTCTTTTTATGTTAAAAGTGATCCTTGTGTTTTTACCTATGTAATTCTTTTTATGCTAAAAGTGATCCTTGTGTTAACGTTGACTCTATATTAACAATCAGATAAGATATCTATTATTAAGTAAATTAAAAAAAAATTATTAAAATAGTAGTTAAAATTTAACAGGCATACGGAACTTATAAAATTACTCACCACCTATGACACTCAACTAGTAAGAAAAGAAATTAGAATACAACAACCAAACATATGTCCTTCAAGTATTTTTGCTAAATTTATTTTTGAAATTATAAAAATAATTTTAAGTTGAATTCTCTCTTTCCTCTATTTTCCAATCTCTCGCCAAAATGGAGTTAATAATCCACTACCAATACTTCTTTTTTTTATTTATCGACAATCACCAATTCTTACCCACATGCTGGACACAGTGCTCGAGAGCAATGGACCTGTTAGTTATATTTATGGCTCGTTTAATTTATTAATTTGAATTTTTAATTTGAATTAAAATGTGATTTTATGTGAGAATTTTTTATTATAATAAAAAAATTAAATATCACTATTTCTGATAATTTTTTACTATAATAAAACTCAAATTGATAAAATAACATAGCCTTATTTATTTTATTTAAACAAATAATTTTATGTGGCTCTAATGAATAAAATATGATACCTAAAAAATAAAAGAAAAATACAAATATGAGGACAAAAAAAAAAAAGTAAGAGATGCAACTGAAGTCTGCAGCTGTTATCTTTGGGATGTGACACCTTTTCAGGTAGCCGACACGCCATTACCTTGTTCCTAACACCCCATTCGCTGCACATGCAACCATTTGCCACTTTTTATTTAAATTTTTAATTTAAATTTAAATATAATATTTTTATAAAATTTTTTGATTGTAGTAAAAAATAAAATGAGATATTTTTAAAAAAATTTTAACTGTAAAAATTAAAAATTAAAAATTTAAATTTGTGAAATAAATGAGATTTTAATCTAACACACAAAAAAAAACACATTATTTTTTTCTCAAAATAATAAATTTTCTGTTAAAATCAATAAATTATTGACTGGAATACAAAAAGTATTTTCGTTCTCTTCCAAGATTCCCCCACCCCAGTTTCTGTGAGAATTCTTTCCACACTTCTTTTCTTACCAAAAATCTGTTCACTTCAATTTCATTTCCACTCTGAATTAGAGGGTGGGGGAGACCCCAATTAAAAAGGCAAAGTGGGTCAGCTCTTTTTTTTTTTTTTTTTTTTTGGTATTAAAATTTGTGTCATTTTATGAAGCGCATGTGTAAATCAGACACTGACAGCTCTTTTGTGCATAATTCTATCATGAATAAGCTTTACCCAATCAATCAATTATTCCTACCATTACCTTTTTTTTTTTTTTTTTTTTTTTTTTTTTTTTTTTCTTTTTTTTTTTTTTTTTTTTTTTTTTTTTTTTTTTTTTGCTGCAAGTTTTCAGCATCATTCCCATGTTCAGTGCACAACACACTTTTCTCAATCCTTCCACTTCCAAAAAAAAAAAAAAACGTTACATTTTTGGCTTTTGCCAATCTGGATTTTTCTTCTTTAGTTTTTAAAATAAATATTTTTCCCCTGCATAAAAAACTACCAAAATTGTATTCTTCTTCTTTCTTAACAGTTATATATATATATACACACACATAATAAGAGAGAAAAAAATCCTTCAATCCTTCAAATCCATTACTTCTCTGTGATTTTTGCACAAAATGCCAACAAAGAACCTCCCTCCCTCTCTCTCTCTCTCTCTCTCTCTCTCTCTCATCTCTAATATGTTAAGTTCCAGTCCTTTTCGCTTCTGGGTTGGTGAGTTTCCTTCTGTTTCTTCTCTTTCCACTCTGTACAACCGCCATTAATACCATTTGTTGAAACCCACCCTCCTTAATTTCCTAGCATCAAAATTTTGTTCTTTTGGATCAAATCCAATCTGGGTAGGCCTCAAAACATTTTTCCTTTTCACTTTCTTTTCTTTTTTTTTTTTTCCTCTCTCTCTCTCTCTCTCATCAAAATTTTGTTCTTTTGGATCAAATCCAATCTGGGTAGGCCTCAAAACATTTCTCTCTTTCTCTCTCTCTCTCTCTACAAAAAAATTGGTCCACCATTATTAGTACCCAAAGCTCCACCTACAAATCTGAATTTTTGTACAATGCACATTTGCATATCCCATTTGTTTCTGTTTCTTATCATTAAACCCGTCTTTTTGGTATCAAATTCCCTTTAGACTTTTCAATCAAAGTCTAAAGGGAAAAGGAAAAATAAACTCCTTGATATCATGAATTTTCTTCAATCAAAGTATTTAGGTTATGCAAGATTCTCGTGACTTGAGGAATCCAAGTAAGTTCAGTTATTTCTCATCTGGGTTTTTCTTCTTTTTAGACTCTTGCACAAATAAATATATCCAAATGAATTTATTTTCTGAATAATTAACTTTTTTTTTTTGTTGCTGAACAATTTTTCTTTTGTTCAATCTAGGCACTCAGCGCGAAGCACAATATTGAGCAAGATTCTTGTGATTCTTCGTCAAAGAGTTTTTTTTTTTTTTTTTTTTTTTTTTTGTTGTTTTTTCGGGGCCTCCGAAAATGGGGAAACTCGTTT